TAATTAAAGATGAAGGAAAATGATAATCTGAGATGGGACAAGGAACAGTAAGTAAATAGGAGTGTATATGTATAAAGATAAATGTCTAAGCAAATTCTGCAGAATGACCACACTTCAAAGGCTCTAAGGTTCTTGGACTGTGTGCAGAGAAGCTTTACAAGATTGCTTAGAGTTCTATTATGTTAAATGTGCAAGACAAAAATTTTTAGAGTAACACTAAGATGATATAATTGAGTATATAAACTTCAGATGAAAAATTAAAAATACCTAAAAGAGGAAAAGACTCTCTTCACAAACATTCATTTCTCTGTTTTTGTTTTTTTGAGACAGGTTTTCTCTGTCTTGAGAACAGTTCTGGCTGTACTGAAACATGGTCTGTACACACTCTCTGGCTTCACACACACATTTCTTTAAAGGAAGAGAAAGAAAAAGCATAAAATGGCACTAATAAATTTGCTCACGTTTGTTCAATTATATGTCAGTGGTTACAATGAATATAAATGGGATAAGCTTGCCCAGTAATGGAAACAGTGTAATATTGGATAAAAATGACAAAATTTAGCAAAACCCTAGGTGAAATTTATTGGACACATCTAAAATGTAAAGATGAAGAAAGGTTAAAAACAAACTTAGCTAGACATGTTTTGTTTTGTAATTTGCAAGACACATTTCAGAATTTTTTGAGATTTTATGTCCAAAATATACAGTTCTTCTAATACTTTACTTGGGAGGTGGAAAACAGGATTAGGCATTTCGGGTTATTATAAAGTTGGATAAATATCAAGTCTGAGGCCAGTCTGAGCTACAAAAGACCCTGTATCAAAAAAAACAAACAGAACTTGAGGTAAAAGCTAATAGAAAGAACTAAGATACAAAGTACTACAGGAGTTAAAGAAGAAAAGTAATGGTAAAAGGTAAACTTAAAATTTTCCTGATTAGCCAGGTACAATCCCAGCACTCAGGGAAGCAGAGGCAGGCAGATTTGAGCTGGAGGCCAGCCTGGTCTACAAAGTGAGTCCAGGGCTACAAACAAACAAACAGACAAAACCAAAACCAAAAATATTCCTGATTATTATACTACCTTTATAATTAATATACTTCCCCTAAAATGAAATATATAGGTGAAGATTTAAATTATTTAGGTAGATTTAATTCTGATTTTTGTAATAGGGTCTATGCTTCAGTTTCTACTCAACTATTTATCAAGTTGTATATAACTATAATAACAATTTTTTGTTGGCAAAATTACTGTGGACTTAGAAAGTTTACATTATTTAGGTAGCAACTGACTTCTACATCAAAGTTGGTCTACATGAAAGAATTCTGGGAATAATGAACACAGCTAACCACACTCCAAATTTAATTTAAATATGTGACTAGCTGCGAGACACAACATTCTGAATATTGACACCAGCATCAGGGCCACAACTCTCTAGACTTCTGCCCAGACAGCACTATCTGAGAAAAGGAGAAGGTACAAGTCAGTGATTCTTTTTCTTATACTGATACTCCTCTAAGTTTAACCAATATTGTTATTCCTAAACCCAAATATCCTAATTCTACTGATCCTTTTTGAGAGGTGTGATAGGCAATAGTTAGCTGACCTAGGAACAGAGCGTTGTATACATCTTATTGGCAATGTGCTAGGGAAATTGGCACTCGAGAATGTAAGAATAGGACACCTTTTTCATGGCATTAAAAACACAGCCACAAATGGACTTTCTTAGTATACAAACCACAATACCTATATCTAACAAAATATAATATTCATAGCTATTTAAATATTAGTATAGGCAATTGTGAAAAAGTGAAACAGTAATTTAAATGCAATTACAGTTTGGAAAATATAAGAAAGTGGCAGATTCTAATTCTTATATTGTTTTTACACCTGATTTTAGGCAAACGAGTAAACAAAAAACCAAAACCAAAAACCTGAGATGCAATTAAATTTTTATGTTTTTTTTTCCAATATATATTTTGGAATCTGTAGGTTAGGATTTCCAAAATACATAGTACTTCTAATACTTTCAATGTTTCAAACTAACAATAAAATAAATGAAGTAATAAAGTCCAGAAATAAAAATCTCTGAAACGCCAGAGTGTAGGGGCACTCCGGGCTGTACCTTCAAAGGGAGGAATGCACAACTGGTTTTCCACCTAGAAGGCTGGGAGCTTGACAGCCTGGCGAGCTTTGGGCTAGCCGTGCGGCTGAGAACACACCAGATCTTCCCCTGGATTCTTATCAGGACCCTGTCAATTATATAGCCCATCTTTATGGAAGATGCCACCTGTACTTTACAAAGAGTATTAGTGTAATTGTGACTTAATTGTACACATGTAATTGAGTTATTTATCATCAGGAATATTTTCATCAAGTTGTGCTGTGCCTAAAATGAACTACTCAGGGTCAGACTCCCAGAATTTGAACCAACAGCAGCTACTGAGTCGTGCTGAACAGCACTGCCTTCTCTGCCCAGGGGGTCATTACCTCTGCTGGCTACCCCACCCCCCTGCCCTGCACCAGAGTAATAACAACACATAGTTTCTATAGTTCTGTAAGTTATCTTTTCGATTAACTTACTTGATGTTTAATGTTACTGGATTATAGAACACATAAAGAAGACAAATTCTAAACAGTATCTCTTTACAAATTTTCACAAAGTAAACATATGCATCTTACTGGCAAACTGTAGCCATAATTAATGTGACAGGTATCACCATATGGCTCTGGCTAACAAACAGCACTCTATGAAGACATGTCCTCAAACTTAAGAGCTCCTCCTAATGCTAGGATTAAAGACATGTGACACCACACTGTTCCCATCTTTATTTTTTAAAAAGACTTATTTACCTTATTTGTATAGGTATTTTGCCTGCATGCATATGTGTGTGTGTGTGTGTGTGTGTGCCATGTGCATGTCTGGCACAATGGACCACCTGGAACTGCAGTTGCAGACAGTTGTGAGCTGCCAAGTGGGGTCTAGGGATTGAACTTGGGTCCTCCAGAGGATCACCCAGTCCTAAACACTAAGCTATTTCTCCACCCCATCCTTAGTTTTTAAGGTGAAAATAAAAGTTAAGAAACAAGAACTAAAATAGTGGTGACTACAAAAAGGCAGAATGATAAGTAAGAAGGGGCAAGGCCAACTAAGTCAGGGAAGGACACAGTTGGAGAAGTAGATGAACTAACTCCTTCATAAGCAGAATTCTCTATCTCCCAAACAAGGAAACACACCGTCTCAACGTGATGGCTCACTAATTTGTAGTTTGTCTTACTCTACTTTCCATAGTCTTAGTTCTACTTGTGGTGATTGAATGAAAATGGCCTCCAAGGACTCATATGATCAGTCATCAGAAAATGGCACTACTTGAGAAGAATTAGGTATGACCTTGGTGGAAGAAGTGTGTCACCAAGGTTGGGCTATGAGGTTTCAAAAGCCCAAGCCAGGACCAGTGGTCCTCTCTTCCTGCTGCTTTTGGATCCAGAAATAGAACTCTCAACTACCCCACACCATGTCAGTCTATTTGCTGCCATATTCCTTGCCATGATCATGGTGGACAAAAACTCTGAAAATGTAAGCAAGCCCCAATTAAATGCTTTTTTTATGAGTTGCTGTGGTCATGGTCATGCTCTTCACAGCAACTAGAACACCAAGGTATCAGCGTAATTTTTAAAAGTTAAAAAAAAAAAAGAAGGTTCAACAATGTTATTATAAAATTGCCAATGTACTCCATAACTTTAAAATTGACAATAGTTTGTAATATATTGGAGCTTTTATTCCTTAATAGGCAGGTCAGGTTTGTTGTCTAAAACTAGTAATTGTTGGGGAACGTTTGACTCTGGCTCTAGATCCAGTACCTAAAGTTAATAAAGAAACAGGAGAAAGTTCAGAGACTTCTATCCTGGAAGTGGCCATCTTCCACCCTCAGATTTGGATTCTGAAAGGTTTGCATCATCTACAACAGTGGGTCTCAACCCCTTTGGGGTTGCATATCAGACATCCTACATATTTACTTTATGATTCATAACAGTAGCAACATTACCAGTTATGAAGTAGCAACAACATAATTCTATGGTTGGGGGTCACCACAACATGAGGAAGTGTATTAAAGGGTCACAGCATTAGGAAGGTTGAGAGGCACTGGTCCAGTTTAATGAATATAGCCCTGCTATGTCGGTTGTATTTTCATCGATGTAATATTCAACGCACAGTAATTTTCCCAGTTACCAAGTGCACACAGGTCTGTTTTGTTTAGAATTTCTGGACGACTGAGACCCACGCACGATTTGCAGCACCGGGTTCAGGGCAAAGGCTCCAGAGAACCTCGTACTCCTTGTACTCCAAGGAGGCAACAAAGAGCACAGAGCTGCGCTCAGCTGCCACTGCTCCGAATGCAGGAGCACGCGGCCAAGGTCTTCCAAGCGACACCTCCCCAAGTGTGGGCAACACACCGGCCGCTCCCACCACAAAGAGCAAACCCTCCGCATCCCGTCGCCAGGGCAACCCCGCCACCCGACACCGAGGCTGTCTATACCGTGTCCAGAGCGGGCGCCGGAGCAGTGCGCACCGGCACCCGGAGCCCCGGCGACCCACGGCACCCACTTGGGCCGCCACCCCCGGCCTGAGGCGCGGCCAGCGCCCCGGCCACGCGCCCGCTCGCCTCCCGCACGTGTCGGCAGTGATTGTCCCCGGCCGTATCCCTCCGCGCCCCCGCCTCGGCGCCCCCGCCCTTCCCGGGACCCTCGCCGGCTGCGCTGCGGAAGGATCGCACGCAGGCGCGCGCGCGCGCACGTCCCCCCCTCCCGGGCGCGGAGAGCTTAGGGAGCCGCGGTGACAGTCAGCCGCCGCCAGCCCCCGTCGCCAGCGTCGTTCCGCCGCCGGCTCCTGAGCCCCGCGGCCGCGGCCGCCCGGCGCTGCCCGCTGCGGGTCCCGTCCCCGCCCGCCGCTGTTCCCCGGAGAGGGGCGGTCGGTGCCTGCGCAGAGCCGCCTCCTCCCCGCCCCCGCCCCGCCTCCGCCGCCGCCGCCGCCGCCGCTGCCGCTGCGCCTCTGCTCCTGCCGTCCCCGCTGCAGTGCGAAGGGCTCGAAGATGGCCGGTTGGCAGAGCTACGTGGATAACCTGATGTGCGATGGCTGCTGCCAGGAGGCCGCCATTGTCGGCTACTGCGACGCCAAATACGTCTGGGCGGCCACGGCCGGGGGCGTCTTCCAGAGCATCACGGTGAGGCCCGGGGGGCGCCTAGCCGGCAGGTGTGCGCGGGCCTCGGAGGGAAGGGACGCCGCCCGCTCGGAAGGGGCTGCGGTCGGAGCCCCGTGGCCGGCCGCCGAGACTGGGGATGCTTGCCCGAGGCCGCGCGGGGGCGGGGCGCCCGGACTCCGTGCCCCGGCGGCGCCCCGGCTTGCGGCTGCCTGCCGGGGTGGAGGAGGGGACGTCTCCCCGGGAGGCCCCTCGGCGCTCGCGGAGGGAGCCCCGCGGTCTGCAGTGCGGGCCCGCGGGTGTGGGTGTGGGTCCGGGGCGGCGGGCTGGCCCTGGCTCGGCGGCGAGCGCGGGCTGTGGGAGGCGGCGGCGGTGGCCGGGTCCCGGGAATTAATGGAGTGACTTTGCGTAGGCTTGCGGGTGCCCAGGCCTCCCGGGCTGGCGAGGAAGGTACGCGGACCACGTAGGTGGGAATCGTGAATCTACTTAAGCTGGCTCTATAGTTTTTTTTTTTTTTTTTCCTCCAAGATGGCGAACTGCCATTGATTTCTCTTCTCCACCTATAGAGATTCATCGATATACCGTTATCCCCAGTTACGCAACGTAGCTCTAAAAAGGGGATGGTTTAAGGGTGATTAAAAAAAAAATTCTGGAAGTCGCGGAAGGGGTTGACACTTATCCAAGTCACTCTCTCTTTAGTGATGATAGTAAAGAACTAATGCCGATTTCGGCTTCACATTGCCTCATTTTGTGACTTGATGGCTTTTGACTCGGTTGCCACACATTTGGGGAATAGTCGTCATTCAGCCTCCAGCACTCCTTATTGTTATGCCCGTTTCTGTGCAAAGCTCTTCTTTAAAAAAACTGGTACCAGTATCAAGTACAAGACTATTCCCTTAATTTCTCAGCACCACGCTCCCACTCCTTCCCCATCACATAGCAAAATTCAAGCCCCGAATCATAGGTGTTGAGCGTTTTACTACTTAACATGGTTTAATACATTAGTGTGGATTTCCTTGATAGGAGTGCTTTCAGATCTCCTGTCCTGGTGTGGGAGACTACAAATCCTATAGCGAAATGACATTTGGTGATCAACTTTTTTTTCTGCAGTCATGTCTTTGTGTGTGAGTTCCCGCTGTCTGGGTAAGAAGATTGCGGGAGTGTGCTTGGAAATGGCTGGGGCCTGCTATGACTCTGCAGTTCTGATGGGGGCGACGCCTTCCTTCTTATTCATGGAATGTTAGAATGAACGTTTTTCTCTTTTCCGGGTCTGGTGGCTACCTCACTTTCTTTACCAAGGCCCCTCCATTTTCTCTATAGTTTTACTATTGCCTACTGCAGTGCTATAGACATTCCATTCTTAATTCCCATTTGTGACAGTCCATTCAGCATTTGTCCAGAACGAAAGCTGATAATTGAATGAAAGGACAAGCAAGTTGGAGAGACAAGAGTAGTAGCTAGAAAAATAGGGAGGGAAATATGAATTTGGAAATGTCCCACAGTCTGATGATTGAGGATCATACTACCTGGGGTATTTCAAGCTTCTCCAAGCAAAGTGAGCAGGTATATCTGGATAGACTTTTACCCAAGTTTAAATTTGATGCAACATGACTAATGTGGCTGAATAGGATAGGCAAGGTGTTGAAAGAGCTTATAGCTCAAGCTTTACAATTACATAAGCACCTTCAAGCACCGCCTGACTTGATATAGTTTATAAATAACTCGTTTTCAATTTGTACCTAGTGTCAACTGCCAACTATTTCAGGAGACTCTTTGTATGGCTGGTATACACTGGCTGTTAGCAGACCTCAGTGCTAAGTACAAAAGCAAACTACTTAATGTGTAAAGCATGTAATCATGTAGGAATAGACAATAATAGGACTAGGCTATCTGATTTTACATCAGCACAGTTTGTTGTATCAAACTCCAATTAACTGTAATTTTTCTTCTTCTTTGTTTTGGGTGGCCAGCCAGTAGAAATAGATATGATTGTAGGAAAAGACCGGGAAGGTTTCTTTACCAACGGTTTGACTCTTGGAGCAAAGAAGTGTTCAGTGATCAGAGATAGTCTATATGTTGATGGTGACTGCACAATGGACATCCGGACAAAGAGTCAAGGTGGGGAGCCAACATACAATGTTGCCGTTGGCAGAGCTGGTAGAGGTAAGCTAATTTTTTTTTGTACCTAAAGGTTGCATGCCATATTACAAGTTGAGTCTCTTTAATGGTTTCAGTTCAGAATTAGTTCATACTGGCGATTAAGGTGGTTTCTGTGAACTGCTCAGCACTGAAGGGAGACACTGCTTTTACCCCAACTTGTTTTCAGTACTAATGTCAGCTTTTCATCTTCAGCCTTAGAAATGAAAAGCTGCCTTTAAACTTTTATATCCAACCCGTTATAATCCTGTGGTATACACAGTTATTAAACTGTTCAAGTCACTTGGCTATTTTTGTGTCTAATTAGAGTCTTTACTTGTGAATTTTTCATGTTTGTTTAGATTTGAAATCAGTTCACTGCTCATCGTTATTAAAAAAAAAAAAAAAAAGACTGCATTGGTTCATTTTTCTCCCAGGAACATTTCTGAAGAAGAGAGGAATATATGAGAGTTTTAGAGTACAGTCTGCATTTATTAAACTACTTCCAAAGAATGAGATTTCAATTTGAAAGTAGGAAACTACATGCAGTGTACATACTTGGTCCACAAACTCTGGTACCAGTCTGACTTGGTAATAAAAATTCTGGTGTCAACATGGGTTAGGGAAATACTTCAAAGAACTTCTGAAACTGAAGTTTACTCTGACATCTCACTGACACATAAATATATTTAAATATATTAACTTTACAACTGCCTCATTTGGCGAAGTTGGCACACAGAAAAACTCTACAGTGTGAAGACACATGAGCCTACACTGGGTGTCTGAGGTGTGATTTGTTTATAGGTTTCCATAAAATGAGATAACTTTAAAACAGACAAATCTTAAGTTTTAGCTGCTTCCAGTTACATATTTTTGCTAAAATATGCTACAGCGGAAGGGCTGGAGATGTGGCTCAGTTAATACCAATGACCTATCTTCTCAGGACTGAGCACCCACATGGCAGCTCACAATTTTCTGTAACTAGAGTTCCAAGGGTTCTGACATCTTCTGACCTACACACACACATATTACATATACATGATAAACACCCATAAGCATAAAAAAAAAAAAAAAGCATCAACACGGAGCCAAATAAAGCCAAATGAAAATTTTATACCATAGAACACTGCTGACATCTAGTGGCAGTGAGTACACCACTTGACACACACCTGTACACATATTTGAAGGTGGACCTTTACAGTCCAGTCCAGTCCAGAATTAGGTGCTAAAAATAGTAAACATGTTTTATGATTTTTAGATTGGAAGACAGTTAGCAAAGGGAAGTATCTGTATAAGACAGATACTGTTAATGTAGCATTTTCTGACTAGCAGTAAAATTTGTTTAAAATTTGGTTTTCATTTTCCTTTGGAAATAACAAACGTATTTACTCATTTATGGCCACACTTGTAAGACAATAACTTATATTTATCAAGCACATGAGATTTGGGGAGAATTTGTAAATGAAAAATATCTAAGTTTTTAAAATATATTTTGGGAGATAAATACCAACCAGAGAATTTTTCCCTAGGATGCAAGGTAAATGATCACTTTTCTCCTAGCTCTCATAAAGATTCCTTTATGGAACTTAGCTGTTACATGGGACTTCCTAAGGGCATCCACAGTATGCTCCTATTTTAGTATATTACGAGCCTGAAAGCTCTCCATTCAAGAGACATAACGGATTTCAGTGCTTGACAGTTCATTGAAAACTAACTTAATGTTAACTTATTAATCAGGGTTCTGTCTGCTTAAACTTATGTGATTTTCTTGATTAACACTTCTTTTGAAACCCTTTTCTCCTTTTTCTTTCAGTCTTGGTCTTTGTAATGGGAAAAGAAGGGGTCCATGGAGGCGGATTGAATAAGAAGGCATACTCAATGGCAAAATACTTGAGAGACTCTGGGTTCTAGCTGCTAGGCAGACTGTTAAGTATTAGGGGAAAATTGCTCTTAAATTTTCCTAGCTGTAAGCTTAAGTCTTAATTCTGGAAACTTTATTAGCAATGCAGGGTGATGGGATATGAACCTGTGTCTCCTTTGTATCCCTCTGTTGGTGGGGAAAGGTGTCTTTCTTTCTGCCCCTTCCCCTTAAGTAATTCTGTTCACTTTTGTTTTGTTTCCCTGTGTACTCCAGCATTGGTTATAGTCATGGGAAAGGAAGGTGTCCACGGAGGCACACTTAACAAGAAAGCATATGAACTCGCTTTATACCTGAGGAGGTCTGATGTGTAAGCAGCCTCTCCCCATCTACTGTCTTCATCAGCACCCAATTACGGTCACAGTGCTACCAGATTGTAGATGGTAGCTAGTTTTCTTTACCTATTTTCTAATGTCATGATTCCCAAAGGGTCATTTGTATGTTAACCACTGTGTGTAACCAACCTTTATCTGGCATCATAATTGCAGCACAATAATGATTTGCATGATATCTTGAAATTGGGGAAGGGGCATGCCAAGTTGGGCATCACTTTGTCTTAGCAATTAATGGGATACTGATTACTAAAATAAGTTAATATTAAGCAAGGTGCCGGTTGTACAATCTCTGATTTGATCACTGTCTTTACAGCACTTTGAGCGTTTACTTGGCTCATTTAGTCTTCCTTTTGTAGCGCATGGTTGGGAGGAAAAAGTGCATGCATCTTTACTTCACTCTTCTCTCACCCCCTCCCTTCAAACATGAGATATTTGGTTTGCTTCCATTCTCTTTTGTGTAGTGCCTGGTTTATTTAACCTAATTAATACCTCCTTTGTTGATGAGCTATTGAGAGTTGCAGTGATTTACTTTCAATACAGTGATTGCACTTGAGACAGACTATTTGTAGTGTTTGTAGGATATGAAGAGTGCAACTGTCAGAGCAAAGGCACTTCCTCCCATGACCTTACTATAGTAACTATACCGATCAAATTCCCAGGGACATTCTGTCATTGCAGTAGCTCAGACTTTTTGTCTTTTCTTTGCACACCAGCTGTACTGATAAAATTGTAAAAGGCTGCCATTATGGATATTAGGTATCCCAACATAACCATCTGGAGTGTGTCCAGTTTATTTTTCATAGGACCAATTTTTATTTGCAGCTTAGGTTTTTATATGAAGTTGCATTATTGTGGACTTGGCTGTCTTGTGATGTATTTTTTTCATATGTATCCTGTGCCATACTATTGTTAAAATGAACTGTTGCTATTGTGAGATGGATTTTCTTTCGAATGGCACTACTTTAGGGACATTCTAGTATTTGCTTCTATTGTTTGGGCATTGTGGATAATGTACAGATTAAAAACAAATCTTGTTGCTGATTTGTCCATTTCTTTCCCTGCACTTTGTTACATCTGGGATACAGTCTAACTCATCTGATTTAATATGCATTTAAAAAAATGCCATAACTATTAAACACCTTGTTTACAGACAGATGAAATAAATTTATTCCAACCAAATACTCCATAGACTCCTGTTATTATTATAAATTGTTGGCTTTAATGTGATTGTTGATTTTGGAGGGTGGGCTGGGAGATTCTTCCTCTGTAGCCCTTGTTGGCCTGATTCAGAATACTCCTACCTAAGCCTTCATTGGCAGCTATAGCTGACAAGGGAATCTAAGCAATAGGCAAACTCAAAAGTATAGAAATTTCTTTTTATTAAGCTTTGGTGTGCTACTATGATCATCCTCAGACTTACATGAAGAAAACTAACCTGCTAGGAACTAAATTTGTTGGTCTTTTGATGTGAACTCCATCTCATAAGCAGTAAGAAGCCCCATGGGCAAGAAGAGTTTCTGTGGAATCCATTATCGAGGGTTCTTCTGGATTAGCTGTTACTGACTTTAGATTTGCAGTCTGTGTTGGCAGGCTGATGTGAGCCAGTGAGTCTCATAAAAGAGCAGAAGCCATTCCTCAGGCACCACTCAAGAGAATTGGACACTTCTGCATCTTCTGGTTTTCAGAGTAATGTGTTGACCACAGCTAAATATCTTAGTCCTAGATTTCTTAAGAAAATATTTAAGTTCACGACTATTGAGACAAACCATTACTGCAAATTATCAAGCAGAAACAGCAGTAGGTGTGCAGGTTATTCTAAGTGAAGCTGGGGAGCTGGTAACTGGACATGGATTCCAGGGTTCTAACTTAGAAATGGTGAGTCCACAGGCCCGAAAGTAAGTGCTAGGAAATACCCAGTATGGTTTGTATCAGTTGGCCTGTAAACTGGCCTTGAGAAAGGATGGGTAGGGGAAGAGTGATCAATCTCCTTCATACTTAAGTACGCTGTACATTCTAGTTTTCCTTCTATAACTTGGTAGGCATTAATTATGAATCTAATTTACATAAAGAGACGTAAAATATTTAGAAGATAGAAATCTGGTCTACTGTAGTAATAAAAATATCAGAAACTAAAGAGTTGAAACTGCTCTTAGTATTTGTCAAGAATAAAGGGTGGGCAAATGAAAATTCAGTGATAGGGTGATTTGAGTTTTCTGAGTTTCATTCACACACATCAGTTGTAGTAAAGCAATAGTTAAATCCCTGTAAATCACAGTGTATGTTGGACATGCGGTAGAGGGTGATTGTCACACTGAAATAGCAAAAGTTTAAATGTTGGCTCCTGTTCACAAAGAGAAATGTATATGAGGTGGTGTGTGTGTGTGTATGTGTGTCTGTGCTTACGTGTGCATGTCTATTTTGTTATGTACTTAGTTCTGAGAATTTAGTAGAAGAAAATGGAGCAGTACAAATACGTATATCAAAATGCCCATCACACTTAACAATAACCAAGCCCGAAAGCATAAGGTTGTATGTCTCTTGGACAGAACAGTTATAGAAGGAGAAGATGCTGCTGCTGCTGCTGAATGGTCTAGATGAACATGTAACATAGTATGTATGTGTATATTTTACACTTTGAAGGCAGAAAGTCCAGGTACAGTCATTCTTGAGCTACGTTTTCAGGTGACCATGATTCCTGGTGTTTTATGTTTAATATTAGAATTTTAAGTTAGACCCTTTAATACAAAGTGGACTTTGATTCTATTTAATGCCATATTTTAAGAGCTTAAAAATGATGGGAGCAGATGCAGACACTAGGCAGAGCCAGGGGAACCCCACCAAAGGGAGTAGTGGGGGGGAGGACATGGGGAGTGTAGAAACCAGAAGGCCTAAGAACACCACTAGAACAGTCTACAGAATCAACTAAGCAGGGCTCATAGCGACTCAGACTGAAGCAACAATCACAGACCAAGTATGGGTCTAAGCTAGGTCCTCTACATATTGTACGTGTTACATAAACACACAACATATAAAACATAACATTTTACAGTTGTATAGCGTGGTGTCCTTGTGGGACTCCTAACAGTTGGAGTTAGGTTGTTTCTGACTCTCTTGCCTACTCTTGGGACCCTTTTCCTCCTACTGGGTTGCTTTGTTCAGGCTTGATATAAAGGTTTGTGCCTCGTCTTATATTCTAACTTGTTATACTGTATTGAGTTGACATCCTTGGGAGGCCTGTTCTTTTATGGAAGGGAAATGGAAGAGTGGATCCAAAGAAGATGAGAGGCAGTGGAGTGGGCTGGGAGGAGTGCAGGGAGGGGAAACTGAAGGATGTACTGTATGAGAGAATGAAGGGGGGGGAAGCTTAAAAACTATAAACCATAAAATTGTAGATTTTAAGTGAAGATTGAGAACAAATACCAGTCTTTGCCAGTGTTTTTAAAAGACAATCCAGAAGAACTCCCTAATTTAAATGTAGAAGCACTAGGTCCTTGTTCAGAACTAGGTTTAAAAACTAAAGGCAGTCACAATCGAAGTACCTATGGGCTTTTCTCTAATAGTTATTTACTGTGTGTTTATTGGCAGACAGTGAGCTTTATGTATTCATTTCCCTTAGGTTAAAATAAATTATGCAAATCATCTAACTGGTTAAAAAGTTAGGCTGGGGTCTAGAGAGAGCTCAACAGTTAGCACTTCCAGAGGCTCTGGATTCAAGTCCCAGCAACCACATGGAGGCTTACAACTGCCTGCAACTCCACTCCCAAGGAATCCAACACCCTTTTCTGTCCAGAGGTACTATATGCATATGGTGCGCAGATGCAGGCAAAGCACCATGCACATTTTTTCAAAAGTTTAAAAAAATATCTGTAAAATTGTCACATTTGAACTTCTACCTAATTACCATGGTGAAGTGTTTCTCCAGCCTCTGCTCGATCTTAGAGAATGATGTCATTTGTGTATGTAGAACTGAACCTTTTGCTTTCCAAAACAACTAATAGTTTGTATTTTCATATCCATACAAATTTTATATTTTACAAGATATTACAGTGCTGCCATTGCTTTGTGTCATAAGATTATGACTTTTTGTTTCTTGTTTTTCTCATATATTCTGTTTGTCATTATATTTTGTGACAAAATAGTTTATAGAACGAGAAAGTATATTTTGAAAAATCATGTAAGTATAAGGACTTGATCTAATTTGAGAAGTATTTTCCATATCATTTAAAATATTTCCAGTGAAAGTATCCATAAAAGAACTGCTATACTACCTAATTTAAAATTCTAAGGTCTGTTCCCCAAAAAATATCTGCATAGGTTAGCTGTGACACTTTGTGCTGTCAGTTAGCAAAGGCAGAAAAACTGCATTATGGGTATAGTTCTCCACAAGGAGACCAAAGCTCTGGGATAGTTACAGTCCAGTTCTAGTTCAAAGGGATTATCAGAAAATCCTATGGGCTCAGCCTTCCTTAATGTCTCACTGTCTTGTCAAGCTTTCAACAGCTGGTGTGCATGTGGAATTCTGGCTGGTTCATCTCCAGGCTGAAAGGCAACAAATCCTGTCATCTTTGTCATCGACACACACATTTAATTGGTTCAAGACCTCTAAGTACCAAATAGCCTCCATTTAAGTTTTCTATTCCATTTGTTCATCTTGAACTGATGGCTTGAATTCTTTGAAACAATTTTCAGATTTCCAGAAGTGTGTGTGTGTGTGTGTGTGTGTGTGTGTGTGTGTGTGTGCATGTACATTGAATATAAATCCTTTTTTTAGTAGAGATCTCAAAATTTGAAACTAAGTCCAATGTTTCGTAGTAAAACTTACTTTGAGACAGGGTCTCACATGTAGTCCTGTATTGCAGCTTATTAGTGTCTGATTTGAAGCCTACTGTAAACCTGATCAGGAGCCCATGGCTGGGGAGATCACATCACTCAAGAAAATTCTATCTCCTCCGACACTCATGATTGCCAATAGTCCCTTGGGGGAGATGACGCTTATGAGTTCCCTCTCCAGTCCATAATATAATGTTGCCAGGCTGGTCCTGGGCAGATAAACCACAGCTGCAGTGAGTTCATGATTGTGACGGCCCTGTCATTTCCAGAAGTCATCTTTTTGCTTCGCTTCTCCCATTCTCTGGCTTTTAACATGCTTTCCACACTCTATTCCATGATGTTCCAAGAGCCTGGAAGGAAATGATATTAGCTGCTCCATTTAGAACAGAGCACACCACCATCACTTACTCTCAGCATTTTGGCATTTAAAGGGTTTCTACATTAACCTCTGTCCACTGCTCTAAAGCTTCTCTGATGAATACTTCCCTGGGAGCAGCACCAATATATAAGTATAAACATAAGTATAAACAAAAATATTAAGTCAATTTGATAATGACCATTTAGTAAAACAATAGAAGTAGCATGTCCATAAAGCCTATGATCTCTCTAGCCATGGACTCCTTACCAGGTTTACAGACCAGGCACATTTTTCTTCTTGTACAGTAGGCCTCAAATCACCAGTTGGAATCCCCATAACAGTCACTGCACTGTTTCGTAAGTGGACACATCTTGCCTAGCAAGTCATTATGACAGCTCTCAGGATTCCTAACTGAGTGACACCACTAATGACCCAGCATAGCCTGCACAGCACCTTCTATCACTATTGAGGCTATCCAATAGAGAGTAATCTTTCAATCTGGCTCCAGCCTGACTTCTCTCTGTCTTGTGACCATAGTATGTGGTATTTCAGCAATAGTCCTAATTAGGTTCAAGGGTTCAGGTGGGCAACCCAGGCAAGTATCAATGACCTTGAATTGAGTCCCCTCCCCAAGTCAACTCATAGGAGATATCCTGTATAGAGCACTGAGATTTATGTTTAATCATGATCAAACTTAAAAAAAAAAACCTTATAAAACGAGTACCCATATAGGTTTCCTATATATCTTTAGATTTAACTGTCCTTCCCTCCTCCACCCTCCTCTTCCTGCACAGACCTTCCTATCCTTAGTATCCTTCTTACCTTTCATGCCATTTGGGTTTGATCTTCCCTAGAAGACACGTGGGTGCATGCAGTATTTGTTTGGATTCTGGTTACCTCAGGACACTATTTCCCAGATTTGTTTGTTTGTTCCTGAAAGTTTAGTAATTTTATTCTTTATCATTGCATAAAATTCCATTTTCTATGTATCACATTTTCATTATCCATTCTTCATTCATTGATATTTACACTTTTTCCATTTCTTCTGTATTATGAATAGATCTGCAGTGAACATGAAGTACAAGTAGCTCTGCTATCGGGTATGTAATCCTTTAGGTATGCGTCCTGCTGGGTCATATGGCACAGTTCTATTTTTAGGTTTTTGTAACACTGACACTCATCTCCATAGTGGCTGCACCACTTTATACTCCCACCAACAGTGAGTAAGTTTTCCTTCCCCACAGTACTGCCAGCATTTAGAATCATTTGCTCTTGATAATAGCCATTCTGACTTAAGAACTTTGAACACTTAAAGTAGTAGATAATTGTGTTTCTTCTTTTGAGAACTCTGTTCAGTTCCCTCGACCATTGTTTTAATCGGGTTGTTTCTATTTTTTTATTTTTTAGCTTTTTAAGCGCTTTTATATATTCTGTACATAACCAAACCACTATCAGCTACCTGGCAAAGATTTTCTTCCATTCTGTAGGCTTCCTCTTCACTTGACTAACAATGTCCTTTGTTGGTCTTATTTCCTTAGCAACTGGAGTCCTATACAGAAAATCCTTACCTATTCCTCTATCTAGTTTACTCCCAACTTTATTCTCCAGTAATTGAGAATTGCAAGTCTACCACTCAAATTGTTGCTTTATTTGGAATTGACTTGTACAAAGTACAAAGGTTCAGTTTTCATTCTTCTGTATGTGGATACCCAGTTTTCTTGGCCCCATTTGTTGAAAATGAACAAATGGGTATTTGTAGCATCTTTGTCAAAAAACAGGTGGCTGTAGTTTCCTAGCCCTGTATCTGGGTCCTCTGTTCTAGTCCATTTGTCTATATATATTTTTGTGTCAGTACAATGTTACTTTTATTACCATAACAAATAATCTTGAAAGAAAGAAAAGAAGAGAAAAGAGTTGGTGGTGGTAATGCAGGCATGTAATCCCAGCACTCAGGTGCCAGAGGCAGGAGGATCTCTGAATTCCAGGCTAGCCTGGTCTACAAATTGAGTTTCAGGACAGCCAGGATATACAGAGAAACAGTCTCAAAAAAAAAAAAAAAAAAAAAAAACCAAACTAAACCAAAGCAAAAAACACAAAGTATAAAAATTTTAAAGAGAAACCATTCAAAATTAAAATTTCTTTTCCTAGTATTACATTTCTCTTAAAATGCAGCATTTAAAAAATAATGAAAGGCCCATACACCTCATATACTTATTCTACAACATAATTTTATTCAGTTTTCCATGTCACTAGATGCATCTACTATAAAGAATGTGCCACAATTTACAACAAAGTACCCTCATTTACACTATTTGGGGGATGATTTTGGCTACAGTGGTGACTTTGGTGGATAAGACTAAATGCTTACAAGTAGTAAGTAACCTTTTTATCTAATTCTTGGGTGGTTTATCATCTCCATCATCCTCCTTTAGCACCCTACATATAAGGCTAATGTGATAAAGAGTTCATCAAAACAAACACTTTGTGGCTTTTAAAGTGGAAAACATTTATTAACATTGAAGCTCTCATCATACAAGGCCATATAAAAAGTCTTAGCATTCTGATTATATTTAAGTATATTTTCTACATAGTTACAGTGTTATATAATTTAGCTTTTCATAATACATTGCCTCGATACATTAGTTCTATTAAACAAAAGCACTTATTTTCAAATCCAATACTTGAACAATTCCCTCTGCACATGGTTCAGCAGGGCTAACTAGCATAAGATACTTTTATGAAGAGGTATATAATCTCAGTATTAACAGTTGCTGAAATTTGGTATTTTTATGCAGCATTTTTAAAAGTTGCAACACAAAAAGATACTGAAATATGGAAAGTAAGGTCCAGAGACGTTCCTGTGGAATCAAACTCAACACTATAGTGCTTTTGAAACCTTAAAACAAAGAATTTGAAATCTACACTAGACCTTTCTTATGAAGAATAACTACTTGGGAATAGGAAGGAAAAAGACAACTTTTAGTTTCTCTGTGGTGCTATGAAGGAAAAAAAAAAAATCCTAAATTGCCTGTTGTCACTCACTAATCATGACACAGGAAGAATATCAAAAGAGACATGTGCCAGCCCAACAATGCTAGGCAACTTTATGGAAGTGAGAGTTGTTTAGCTCATGCTAGATGACCATAGCAGACTTCATGTATAAGACAACATTTGCATACTATGATCTAAGCCTTCATTTCAAGCTATATTGAGAATTTTTAAAGTGTCTTGGCTACATTTCACCATCCCCGGAGAGCTACTTTGATGCCTGAGTTACAGCACCAGTCTGTTACTGTTAGTGAAATGGATGTATACTATTGGAGATAAGTATCAGAGATCAAGTAGACTGTTTCAGGAACTTGATTACACTAGAAAACTAAAAAATAAGTTATTTCTGCAGAAACTTCTAAAGGGAGCAGAAAAATTAACTCATATGCCTAAATAAACATTTCAAAGAAATCAACCAACCACCTGGAAGTCACACAGTGTTTGCTGTGCTGTAACCCTGTTCACCATCAGGCTGCAGCTGGACCACAACACTGTGTTCAGTGATTTCATTGTCTGCATCACTGCTGTCGGTCTCTTCATTGTCATCTTCCTCGTAGTCTGAAGACTCTGTCATATTCTGATGTGAGTGGGATTCTGACAAAGACCCAAATGACTGGGTCCTGACAGAAGCTGAAGGTGGAAGTAAAGGGGTGTTCTCTGACACCTCATTTTCTTCCTGACTGCTGTCTGTGTCAGAGTCCGAATCACCTTGGGAAGGAACAACTTTTTGTTTGCAGACTGGACAGGTCTTTTTGGTTTTAGTTAGCCAGGGATCTACACACTTGCAATGATAAGCTGTTGAAGCAAAATATACACCTTCAGTACAGCAATTCTGTGAAAAGCACTTATTTTCAAATACAATGCTTGATTTGGTTCAGCAGGGCATACAATGCTCTTGAAGTATATGATCCCAGTATTAACAGGTGCTGAAATTTGTTATTTTTATGCAATATTTTCTTTTTATCACAACACAAAAGGATGACATTGCAATATGGAAAGTAAGGTGCATCAACATTCCTTGAGTCAATCCTGCATAACACTATATAGTATTAAGAGACTATTACATTTAATTTCTTGCTATGTTTATTCAGTGTTGTGATCTGTTCACATTATGTATGCACATAAGTTACTGCATTCTTATAGACTCACATCTCTATTTTTGCATTTCTGTCTCTTTTCCCTTAATACAGAACTCAAAATTGAATTATATACAAGCTCAAAGCACTGTGTGATTACTCATACCATGGGAACAAGGAAGGATCCTTAGCTTATCTCCATCTTCATATTCCTCCAAACAGATAGCACATACATCATACTCATCTCCTGGAATAGAAAATATCAATAAAAATATGTAGATAGATTCACAGAAACTTTACAAACTTTTATTTTAAATAAAACAATCAAAATGCTGTGATTGTCTCTAAATGATGCCTTTGTTGTTCTGACTGACGTAAAGAGCTACTTCAAGTTCTAGAACCTGAAGTTTTAATTATCCTTTTACCCAAATAAGGCAATTAAAAATAGATGTCAGAGTTGTTTATCTTGATTGTCTTTGTCTATGATTTTCATAAGAGTCACAATTACATTAGTTTTTCACCTAAGCACTCAAATATTAGTTTTGAAATATTTTATACTAACAAAATTTCACTAAACTTTTGAAGGTCTGACTCATTTTTATGGCTGGTGACAGGACTGAATTCAGGAATGCTAGGTAGGAGCTTCACCACTGACCTACAATCCTGTCCCCTGCCCACACATACACAAAAGCACATTAAAACATTTAAACACCTGTAATATGTTAATCAAAGTAGATTTGAAGTGAAGGCACGTTTGGCTTCAAATAACCAATGTGTAGCAGTTCTGTGGTGTCATAAGGCTGATATGCAAACAAATGGCCAGGGAAATACGTATTCATCAAACGGCTACTTAATAGTAACGCCATTGCTACTATGTGTTCCCTTTATTGCCTTAAAGAGCTGGTTTCTTTAATTCATAGATCTTCTGGGATTCAAAGGATACATTTTAAAGGAAGCAAAGTAGTGCACTTTGAAATACAGCTACTTTTGGAGGGTAGATTTGAAAATGCTTTGTTACCTCAGTGACTGCTTTAGTTTAGTTTAATAAAAAATTAAAAAAAAAAAACCTTAGGAAACAAAAGAGGGTTTCATTGCCTGCCATACACAAGGATAACACCTTTAGAAGGTATTAGAAATAAAGCCACTATCAGGGAAAATAGTCTGGATGGGCACCATATATAAAAGGGAATAATAGCTTTTTTCAGGCAAGTCATTTGATGTCCTCTAGTCAATTTACACATTGTAAAAAGAATCCAAAACAGACAGCTTTAAAGAAACTTATTTTTTGTTGTTGTTTTACTAGTACCTTGATTTTGCTTACTGTATTATCACTATCAAATACACTGACAAATCCATGTGCACACATGTTACACGCACACGTGGAGTTTGGTCAGGCTGATTAGACAGTCCTAATTAGAAATGTTAAAGAGCGTTAACGTTTGTGATAGCCTATAATTACACAGATTAATCGCTAACATGGATTTTGAGGGTAGAGTCCGAACATATTAAGCAGTTAAGTCATGACTGATGTTACCGTACATCTCAAACATTTAGTCTTAGACCTTGTAATATCCCTGTTAGAAACCACTGTGTTAATAGGGATCAAGGTAGAGAGGGAGAATGATTTGGATTTTTCACATGAATTCAGTATGGCCACAAGAGACTGTATACAGAATTACAAGTAATATATTTGTAGTACTTTAAGCTACTGTGTTTGTCATAATCTGTAACCCAAGAAACTAATGAAGAAGCTTTCTTAAAGAGGAATTCAAATAAGGCCGTAAGTGTACACTGAACTTACAAAAAGGGAAATACATTATTGGAAGAGTAAACAAATATAAAACATTTTCAAATAAAAAATTTGCCAGAGTCATGCAGAGTAAGTAATAAATGACAATGGAAGGTAAAGTTAATTGAGTATCATTGAGGCAGATTATGAAAAGCTCTAAATACCAACATGAGTGTTCTAAGGTAAAACGGCAGACAACAGAGGGCAACCGAGACCTTCCAAGTAGAGGAATAAATGGTGGCTTAAAACATATTTCAAAACCATCAACAAAGAACTGAAAGGAAACGGGCCTGAGATATACAGGTAAATACAGAGACTGTAAGACTAACTTACTGTCCGGCACTTTCAGGATTTAAGTAATAAAGTTGGCTTGGGTAATACAGTAATAAGAATGAAAAGCAATGATCCAGTTCCCATCATCTGAAATTTTATGAACAAACACAGCTAACAGAAGCTTGGGGTGAAATAAAAAGTAATGTATAAAATAAAAAGTTAAAGCTTTGGATGAACTTTTTAAGTGTTTTACTTGACATTAGTAAGATGTAACCTGGAATAAGAATGGGAGAGAGACTAGGAGAAAACCAACCACACAAAGAAGTTGGCTGTAGAGACTTTTGTTTTAGCAAAAAATTAGTAAAATAACTAAATATGATGACCTTGTTCACACTTCTGTGAGTATACTTATCCTAAAAAGTTGTATGACTGCTTTATTCAAAGACTAACTATAATCTAAGAAGTGTGTTTATATTTTGTGCAATGATTATATACTAATAAAAAAGAAAAATATTTAAGTGTGAAAATAAAGAAGTATGTTCAGCCAACAGAGTGATCTTATCAGTGGACCACTAACTACAATATATGAAAGTGGCATTGTGATAGGGAATCATACTTTCACGGAGCTACGTATAAATTTATGTTTATCCTGGAAATTGAAAACAGGATCATACTTTTCCTCATGTAAGTTTCTTAAGGTGCATCTAATGGTAATAGGCACACATTCACTTACAAAGGTAACGGGAAAAATCAACCTTGGCAACTGAAAGGAACCACCCTGCTGGACACAGTAGCTATGGCAGATCACATGTTCGGGTTCCTTTTTCTGTAGAAGTTAGGACATCCTGAAGCTCACCTGCCCTACCGGATCATGGCACTACAGTTCTAGACTTGCTTTCAGCTCACAGGAACTCCTTATTTGAAAAGATATGGTTTTGCAATGCTTTTTTTCATAACTGAGCAAGATGCATAGCACAAATATTATCATGGAAGTTATGTTAAGTGGGTTCTCAAGGTCTTGTCCAAGTGGTAGAATGAGGTCTTGTCCTTCATTCTTTCTACTGTATCATGCTGGAGGAAGTACTGGCCAAATAAAAACTGAAAAACTTAAAAGCCAATACTGAGATATATAATTTTATTAAATATTACTATATAGCAAATAAGAACTTTTAAAGCATAATCACTTTATCATGAATTTCTTAGTATCTGAATGTATTAACAGCATTCAAAGTAAATTCAAATTTCACCAACTGTCCTGAAAATATTTTTTTTTCATAGGTGACTTGTCCTAAGCAGGGCCCAGGCTCTCAGCTCCCTGCTCCTGCCACTATGCCAGCTGCCTTTCTGTGTCTTACAGATGTGGAGAGGTATCTGAAAGGCTGGTAAAACTATCACTTGAAGTGCCTGACTGAAGTCACCCTGCATGGGTAGGAAAGGATACTCCCAAGAGTCACAAGGTTGCTAAGTAAGAACTTAAGTCCCGGGAGTAGGTTGTCTTCCTATGACTTGTTGGCAAAGGAATCAGTCCCCTGGTACCCTACAGACTATAAGCTTATTCCCACTGCTACTGGTTGCACACCAGAGCTAGATGGTAAGATGCTATTTCTAAAGAAGGTACACACTGGCAGCAGGACATGGAGAAATGAGGCTGAGACCAAGCTGAGACCAAGTCTCTAATTAGACTATGCAGACTCCTGAGGAAGAACTGTTGCTGATAGTCCTGCTCAAATAAGGAAGCTATGTGCTATAAAGCAATGATACACCAGGCAAGCTGAACACCCTGGTGTAATAGTGGCATGGCTCTTATGGGTACAACCAACTGCTCTTTAAAATTAGATTTTTGTTTTGTACCACTAACCTGGCAATCACTGTATGGACCAGACTGGCCTTGAACTCATCTAGGTCTACCTGCTCTGCCTCCCAAGAGCTAAGATTAAAGAATGCTAAAAGAAAGAAAAAAGAAAAGAACTTTTCAATATTTAATTTAGGTGCTACTTGTACTTTAAAATCCTACAATGGCTACTCATTTTAGAGGAAAAGCCAATGCTGTAAACCCCTTTTAAACCATTCTAACCCAGGGTGGTCTCAATATCTCTTTCTTTTTCACATTGTTTGTGTGCAAGTGTGCACACACTTGGAGTTAATTCTCTCCTTCCACTATGTAGATACTGGCGGTCAAACTCAGGTCATCAGACTTGGAAGCAAGCACCTTTACCTACTGAGCTATCTTGCCAGCCCTCAACATCAACTTTTAAAAACTACTTTGTTTTAGGGGAAAATGTTTTTAAGGTAGGTCATAGCACTAAGAGGGGAAAAGCAGACATGGACTATCACCTCTGACAAGAAGCTATCTACAACTAATACACACATGTACAGGAAAAATGAGTTTTCTCCAATGGACTCAATGGAGTCCCACTTTTTTTTTGTTTGTTTGTTTTGTTTTGTTGAGACGAGTTTTCTCTGTGTGGCCTTGGCTGTCCTGGACTCACCCTATGCTGGCCTTGAACTCACAGAGATCCACCTGCCTCTCTGAGTGCTAGGATTACAGCTGTGCGCCACCATGGCCCACTTCTCCCTTGGTATATTAGCCAGATGCTCATGCTCAGGCCTCATGCGCAGGAGTAGTCAAAAACAGAAAGAAAACTCAAATATATTTTTGTAGACTTTTGACTCAAATTGCTTTATTTGGACATTTTTTGTCTCATTGGTCTTTGCCTGTATATCTTGGTTTCCTTTTGTATGTGTGTGTTTTTGCAGAGTTTTGAGTGTGTGAATGTGTGTGTGTCTTTCTTTTGGTTTTGGTTTTGTTTAAAGAAAGAAAGGGTATGGAGTTGGGTCATTGGGTAGTTGGGAGGATCTGGGGGAAATTGGAGGGGAAAACATGATCAGGATATATGAAAAAATTTTAATTAAAATAATAATCAAAGATTATCTCATATTATTCAAAAAAGTCTTTAAACCAAGAATTAAGAAATACAAAACTAAATATACAAAATGGAGCTTTACAAAGTGATTCCTAAAGGTAGACTTTCACACTGGATGTGGTCTATAAACAACTTTTAAGTAACTCACCTCATGTGTAGTACAGTTTTATAGCATCTCTGTCCTTTTTAAAACTGAAATATGTTTTCCTATTTTTTTTGTTATATTTTTCACAAGATAAAATTATAAATGGTAATAAAGCACTTGGCTCTATGGAAAATAAAACTTGCTTTTTATTTATTATTCATTCATTTACTTATACAGATGGTTTTTCTTTGTCTGCCCACGATGTGCATGCCTGGTGCCCATGAAATCCACAAGAGAGTGTTGGGTTCTCCCGGGACGGGAGTCATATATGCTTGTAAGCCACCATGTGGGTCCTAGGAATTGAATCCCAGTTTTCAGGAAGAGTGGCCGGTGCTTTTAATCACTAGGCCATCTCTCCAGGCTCTAGAACTATGTTTTAATACTTTTTCTATTTGAACCTTCTTTAAACAATCTTTAAACAGAACATTTAATTTGTATATATAAAAACCTGAAGCCTGAGAAGTATTAGCCCAAAGGATTACCATGTATGTACCCACATTTGAAGCTCACTAAGTGCAGAACACTGACGGTAGTGTAAACCTCAACTCCTCTCCAGCTCTGTCAACGCAGGTCCAGCCTCTGTGAACCTCTCTGTCCTTGCATATATTGACAGGATATTAAAGTACCCACTTCATATTATTATGAAAATTAAAGGACATGCAGAGTGCAAGCATGTGATAGCTATCTACGGCTTTATCAGCACAATAGAGTAGTATGGAACATAGCAGCTGAGGGCATAGGAATGTTAAATGAGGGCAGACTACCTTATGGAAGAAAGTGCTTTTTTTTCTCTGACAGAATCCAGAGCTACTGGCACTGGTGGTGGCAATATACTTTTTTTCATTATTACTTTTAAGATTTCTGCCATAAAACATCTTTCCCCAAATATTCATTATTAATGTTAGTTAGTGTTAAGAATGGTATATAGCAGAAACTCATAAATTAGTAGTAAGTACGGTTCTTGTGCATTCTGAAACACACTAAATGTTACCATTTAGGAAACAGAAATATTCACTTACCCTTCTTAAATTTATGTACAGGGAGTTTTTTAAGTTGATCTTTACGAAGTCTGTTTCTTCTGTTTCTATGTCTGTCCTGAACAAATTTTGTGATCTAAAGACAGGAAGAAAAAAAAAAAAAAAAAAAAAAAAAACCAAACATAGGTCAGATATTAAATTATACAGATAGGAAATTGGCACTGAAATTTAAAAAAAAAAAAAAAAAAAGCTCTTTAAGTTTCTGGATAGCTTACGCTGTAACACCAATTCAGTTTATTTCAATCCTAATGACAATATTATTAAATCATCAAGTTAAAAGTGATTAGTTAACTTAAATATTATCCTTTAAATTTCTTATTAAATAAATTTATTGTCTTAAAATTATTACATTTATTTCTTTATGTATCTGTTCTGTATGTATATGTGCATACATGCATGTGCCACTGTGAGCTTGCACAAGTCAGAGGATATCTTGGAGGAATGGGTTCGTCCTTTCCACCACCTGGGTCCCAGGAATCAAACTCTGGTCGCAAGCCTTATCCTACGAGCTATTTTGGCAGCTTTGACTTTACACTTCATTTACTGATAGGCCATTATAAATTATAATTGACATTATAAATAGTCTATAAGTATTGTTTACAAAAATATAAATAGTAGACTGCAAATTAGAAGTACATTAATTGGTCAAAAAAAAAAAAAAACTGAAGTTGAGGCTGAAGAGATGGCTCAGTGGTTAAGAGCACTTGCAGCTCTTGCAAAGGAGCCAGGTTCAGTTTCCAGCACCCACATGAAGACTCATAACCACTTACAACTCCAGTTCCAGAGGATCCAATGCCCTCTTCTGGTGTCTGTGGGCACCAGGCAAACAGGTATAGAATACCTCAAAAATAAAAAGAATGGCTAATTAATATACTCAACAATTTGCATAAATCTCAAAAATTATGTTGAAAGATGATACAAAAGACCACATAATCATAATGCCATTAGTATAAAGCTATTGAAACAAACTGCAGTGACTAAAATCAGGTTTGTAGTTATCTAGGTGTGAGGGTCAAAAGAGACATCAAAGAGCAAAAGGAACTACTAAGAAACATGAGAATCTGTTTTGAGGTGGACATCTCATCATCTTGATTGTAATGGTAATATTTTCATACCCGTGTTTTTGACTACGAATGTATGTAATCATATAAGTGCTAAAACTTACTAAGATGTACAACTTAAATGTGTGTGGCTTTTATCTCAACCCTATTGACTTAATATCAATTTAATAAACTTATAATATTAATTAAAATTGGTATTAAAGTTAAGTATTTTCAACGTTTTAAATAACCATTAAAAAATACCAGCATGAATGTGAGGCTAGAAATATAATTCAGTAGTAGAATGGTTGACTTGTTTATATATGGCCCTTGTGTAAATCCTTGGCTCTAAAAAGAAAAAAAATCTCCAGCAATATGATATAAGCTCTTAAACCAAGAAGAAAAAGATAAAGTTGTATAATCTAAATTTACATAAAAGAAAGCTGAAAAATACGTAGACATTAATCCAAATATATGACAATAATAGATATAAAAGAAGTAAGTTCATCATTTTTTAAGGAAGTATGTAATAGGAAAAATCCAATTCCATGCTATTTACAAGAGACAATTAAAACTGAATGACACCTTAGGGTTTAAAAAAAGAGAGGAATACAGATATACCACAGCATATTAAAGTAACAGCCATATACCAGAAAAAAACAGAATAGTCAAAAGAATACTTTATCAGGAATATGCTAAAAACTATGAGCATAATATATAAAGTCAAACATTAGGGAATTATATCTAAATCAAACACCAATTTAAATACATTTAAATAGAACTGCACTAGCTCCAGCTATAGGTAACAAACAGGTATTAGAGCATGGCCAATCCAAGTGTGAGTGTGCGCAAGACACAGTAATGAAAGACAAAACCACAGTTATGTATGTGGTTTGAGGCCTCAAACACTTCAATCTTAAATAAATATAGCATTCAAATTAACCTCCCCTGTTTCTTCTTCCTTTGTTGAATTGGGCTATCAGAAGATTAAAAATAATAATTCTGTTCTATTAGTTAGCACTGTTTTAGAAACTTAAGAATTCAAAAATACAGACAACTATAGTCAAAGTTCCACAATTTTGTGAATATACTGAAATCATTAAATTGTGCATATAAAGCAGACAAATGCACACACTTAAATGGAAGGACATGTAACTGCATTCCCCACAGACACGAATGACATTTATAAAATTTGAATACAAAAGGATGTCACAGAGCTGGAAGATTATATCAGAATTCATAACATGTTTTCTAACAATACAACTGAATTAGAAATATATAGAAAAAAAGATACTGAGAAAAATATGTGTCAGAAATTTAAAACTATTAACATGAATCACAGAAAAACTCACAGTGGGTAACAGATTTTTACCATCCAGAATCTCAGCAACACAAAGAGATCATGAATTATGAAGGAAGGTGAAACTCTAGCTCTCTGGGGAAAGAAAGAGCTTTTTACTGAGCCACAGAGTTAGACAACCTTAACTACTCAAATGTCTGAAAGCAGCTTTGAGATGCTGTGGGTTAAAACTGATGGTAGGCTGGAGAAAAGGCAAGTATGCCTACTTACTCCTCCAAATGAACTCCAGGGACAACATTCTCCTCTCCTAAGACAGAAGGGACAAAAAAACAGACAGAGGCTGGAACTGAGTCCTCTTCACACAGGAGGAACAACCAAAACAGACAGAAATGTCTTACAATGAAGATGACACTTTAGGCCTTAAATAAACTGTGCAGCCCAGTTTCAATGGATAAATTAAAATTAAAAATAAAATACAAATCCTGTTTGTTTTTAAAGATTTTAGTTCACCTAAATCCCCTAAGGGACAACAGTGTAAATAAGAGCAATAAAAATGACTTTAGGGTGGGGGAGGGGGAAGTTTTAGCCAAGTGTGGAGGTACATGCCTTTAATCCCAGCACTTGGGGAAGGAAAGGGAGGTGAGTTCTCTGTAAGTTCACAGTCCAGCCTTGTCTACAAAATGAGTTCCAGGACAACCAGGGCTGTTAAACAGAGAAAACCTGTCTTGGAAAGAGAGAAAGAGAGAGGTGGGGGGAGGGAGAAAAGAAAAAAATACGTATTTTGTTCACTGAGAATACATAGATCCCAAAGCAGTGCGGGCCTGGTTTATTATGGATGTAGAAAGAAAGTCTACTTCTTTGAAAGACAACTAAATCACATAAACATCTAACAACAATGCAAGGCACAGATGGCTAAGGATAAAGAGAACTCATTCTACCTGTGACAAAAATTCTTTTAAAACCGTTAGTAAAGTATATGAATAACAGAAATCACTTTATCTTATTACACTGAAAATGACTTAAAAATATAATTAAAAAGTTGAGGCCTTCCAGGAAAAATGGAAGACTTTAAGGTGCCTCCACATGCCAGGTTAAGGAGAGACATCAGGACAAGAAAGAGCAGACCTGACTCCAAAGGAAGAAAATAGAAGTCAGCTTCAGAAACTCAGAATGGCAGTGACAGAACCAATCAGACAAGGTAAAGAAAAAGATGGGTAAGCACTGAGAAAAGGTAAGCTGCACCAAACACAATTCCAGCCATGGCTTACTGGTGGGGTGAGAAGACACAGTCACCTCATCCCCCCAAATAAGCTGGGTGACTGATCAAAGGAGACTTCCAAGGGACAAGCTTACTGCCATCACTAGGCTGCAATGCAATTTCTGGTGTAGGTAAGAATGATACCTCTCCAAACCAGTGAAGTAATAGCGAAGAACCCTATTTTAACCCATATGACTGGAGGGTGAGATCTTGAAAGGAAAACTATGTTTAAAGCTGAGCTAGACTATGGACCTGAGAATAGAGAACACGCACAAGCCCCAGGGACAAGAAACAGTCCTGGAAGACACTTGGGAAAAGCAGGAGGGAACAGATGCTGACCAGCTGAAAGTATAGGCTACAGGAGGGTTGGCTCAGGGATTAAGTGAATAGCCCACCTTTGGTGGCTGGAACAGGTATATCAATGGAGATAATCAGACAGTCTGATGACCCTGAGCATGGGTTCCAAGTCTGCAGACACTTGTAAACTGTCCATTACTGCAGAGCCCACCAGCTTGGGACTAACACTTATATCTTGAACATATGAACACAGGTCTTCCCTCTGTACACATCTCAGAGCTGTAGCTCCTTCTTATGCATCTGACATATGAGAGATGGTTCCTGCTCCCGATATAACTTTGGGAGCCAACCCACAGACTACTAAGCTAACTAGGACCAGCAGAAGTCCCTGGTGCACAAAGAAGTTACATTAGTGGAGACACTTTGGTGGACACTTGAACAACACAAGCTCAACACCAGCAGAAATCACATGAAAGACAAGAGGCTCCAGCTTCAACTGACTCTCCCGCGTGGCCTGCCCACCTCACACATGTAACTAGCACTCTCCCAAGTTTTAAGGACTTTAATCCTTCATTCCTGCTGACCCCTATTTTTCTTTACTTTTTCTCTGTATGTGCATGTACATATGCACATATATGAATGTGTGTGGAGGACAGAGGTAGAAAACTGTCTTCCTCAATATCCACTTTGTTTGTTTACTGAGTCAGGGTCTCACATGAAACTGGAGCTCATGCATGCTGCTAGGTGGGCCTCAGGGATTATCTCATCTTCACCCCCAGCACTGAGATACAGGCCAGAGCTTCTGGATGTTGGAGATAAAACTTGGTCCTAATGGTTGTCCTTGAGGCATTCTTCTGACTACACCATCTCTGTAGCCTCTATTTTTATTTTTCCTTTTCACATCAATTTTAGCAGTTAAATTTGATTTTTTAAAATAAAATTCCCAATCATATATTCTTCTAGTTTTGTTTATGCTTTTTTCATTGTTAAATAATCTTTTTCTTTTTCTGTCTTGCCCCTCCCACCATGTTTCCTCCACCAGCTCCATTGCTATACTTTAATACCATTTTATCTTTTTTTTTTAATAAAAAACTTACATGTATAATGTGTGTGTGTTTAGGCACACTCATGACACATGTGAAAGTCGGAGGACAACATGCAGGAGCTTTCTCTTTTCACCA